TGGACTTAAAGAAAATAGATGGCAGTTTAATGACCTTGCTCAACTCACCCTTAAATGCTTTTTAATAAGAAAAAAATCTTGCTGTGTTTTATGATACAAATAGAAAATTGACTGAAGTCCTCAACAAATTTCCACCCTCTCAAAAGCAAGGAAGGGCTTTGCACCAAACCGAAAGCTGTTGGGGCCAGGCAGCATTGTTGTTAGTCTCCCCATGTAAGAAACTCAGACTGCATCTGCCCTGCACTGCAGAGCTCTAGTGCCATAACAAACTACACTTCCCAGAATTCCATAGCTTTCAGCCATGGCAGTTAAAGTGGTGTCAAACCAGATTATTCCTGCAGTGCACTTGCAGCCATAGTCAACTACTTTCACCTTGTCAATGAAGACAGATGCAGGTAGGTTGTTACTAATTTTGTCTACTTGTGGGTACTGGCTGGGGAGGGCAAATTTCTTTTCCCATCTATTTTCATTCAAATATTCCTAAACATGAAGGCACTTACAAAGACAGCATGCACTTAGAAGCATCCTCCATATGTTCCGTGCAGCCTACTCTCATGTAAGTGTGTATATGGGCCTTTGCAGACTGCCAGAAATAGTGCAAATTGAGTCCACTTTAAGGGTTAGGGTTAGGGAATCATGGGAACTTATTTTATTGTGGCACCAGAGCTCTCTGACAGAGAAGGCTCAATGTCTCAGAAAAAAACAACAGTTCCCATGATTCCCTAGCACTAACCCTAACCCTTAAAGTGGACTCAATTTGCACTATTTCTGGCAGTCTGCAAAGGCCCTATGATAGATTGCATGCGACTATTATTATTCCTAGGCAGACCCAATGATGGCCACCATTTTAAGATTCCATACTGCTTGATCATTTCGTATATTTCTGATTGATAATGTCTGAGGAGTCTTATCCTAGTGGTCCAGTTTTGCCAATTCATTGGCAAACCTAGTTGGGAGTGGAGGGAAAATTTTCCGCTCTCTCTGCTCTGGGTTCCATGGTAGTGACCCTAAAGTGAGCCTATACCTGTAACTTGAAGTACCCTTCTAGAAAAATTAAAATCCCTAAAAACAATGTAAGAAATAGGAGCAAAGTTATTGGCATAACAGTGTCCAGTCATTTTCAGAGGTTACCCTTTAACAATTTTTAGACACACTTAGTCAGGGACTTTTCAAATTTTATACCACTGTCTTATCAACCCTAAAGGTTTTCTTTCCCCAAAAAAAGTAACAGAAAGTAATGAAAAGGTAACTAGCAGTGACACAAACAATGTAACATTTTACCCTATCACAACCACTTTTTAAACATTGCAATGAATGGAGAATGAATGGTGAATTACTTTCAAAAACTTTATTCAAGTTCCAACACTACTCTAAGAGCATTCAGTTGCATCTGCAAATTGGTTGTATCAGATGAGTAGTTTGAAATTGACACTGGTATAGAGATTTTTCTCTGCAGAATATGTTTGCAAAGCAAATTATTTTTGATCCTTTACAGCATAAATTCATATATCTCTACTCAGAAGTCTGAATAAAAGCAAGGACCTTATTCCCAGAGAAGGTGGTATGGAACTGAGAGATAATTTTGCCATACACAAAAAGAAAAAAAAAAAACGAGGAAGAAGTAGTTTGTGTAAACTACCTACTAAGGATTTGGTGATTTACAATGACTTTGGTTTGAATTATGTAACTGAATAATATTGATAATTTGAGAGCTGATCATTTTTGCTCTTAATTTTAATAGCTATAAACGCAGTGGTGGCTGATGTCTCCAATGTGAGGAGGGCAATGAATCTGTTCTGGGTTATAGTCCAAACTGATTTTTTTTAGCTGTCTCAGGGGCTCAACCTATACAGATATTATTGTGAAATAATATTTATAGATACTTAGATGATTCATAATTTCCTGATATTCTGAGATATACCTTTCTCAGTCTATTAAAGCAAGTTGGCTTATCTAGTGAATCAATATTAATGGTTATTAATGAATATATCATCATTAAATATGACATCCTAGAATATGACACATTTATTAGGCTATGTATTCTCTTCAAATATGGCATGTTAACTATCAACTGGCAGGTGGGGGGGTTGTTGCAGGGTAAGTGCTCTAAGTTAGGGCCTTTGCAGACTGCCAGAAATAGTGCAAATTGAGTCCACTTTAACTGCCCTGGCTCAGTGCTAGGGAATCATGGGAATTGTATTTTTTTTTCTGAGACATTGAACCTTCTCTGTCAGAGAGCTCTGGTGCCACAATAAATTACAGTTCCCATGAATCCTTAGCACTGAGCCAGGGCAGTGCCTCAATTTAATATGCACTATTTCTGGCAGTCTGCTTAGGCCCTATGTTTTGTTCTAGTTTACCACCCCACAGTCCAAGGTCTTTCCTCCTTAGGAAATTGAAAAGTCTTCATCATTGTTCCTAGATTTTTGGAAGGGACTTTGGATCACATGCTGGGAAAAACAAGGGATAGGAATTAATTAATTAAATAGGTGGCGTACACATGCGTGCACACACACACACATACCGAGACATAACAAGTCAAGACCACAAAGAATTCTGCCCTTATTCATCAGAATTTGGCCCAAAGAGGCACCTATATGAGCATTACTTATGCATTTACATGTGTCCAGCTGACATATTTATGGAGGAGCAGAACTGAAGCAGAAATCCCTGCCATTCATTGTATATGTATTTTGTATTTTTAAAAACTTATCTGCATGGTATACACATATGTACTACACCAGTGTAGTGTAGTGGCTTGAATGTTGGATGCTGGCTGCATGTACACTGCAGAATTAATGCAGTTTGATACCACTTTAATTGCCATGGCTCAATGTTGTGGAATTCTGGGATTTGCAGTTTTGTCCGATATTTAGCCTTCTCTGTCGGAGAGCTTTGGTGCCACACAAACTACAAATCTCCGGATTCCATACAGTAGAGCCATGGCACTTAAAATTGCATCAATTCTGCAATATGACAGCAGTCTAGGACTCTAGGACACCAAAGTTTGAAACTTTGCTCAGCTGTACAGTCTAGTGAATGACTTTGGGCAAGTCACACTCTTTCACCCTCAGAGCAGAGCAATGGCAAACCTCCACTGAGTAAATCTTACCAAGAAAACCCTATGGTAGCATTGCCATAAGTCTGAATCAACCTGAAGGCACATAACAACAAGAACAATCATACCATACATGTATGTACAACTGGAAGAATGTCCAGTACAAACCATGAGTACAAGCATACACATGGGAAGTTGATATATGCCTTCCATGCATGTTTTAGTCATGCCAACAAAGGTTGCTATGACAGTGTTTGGCATTGTTATAATTTCTCCCCATTACAGACATTGGGCCTTTGCAGACTGCCAGAAATAGTGCAAACTGAGTCCACTTTAAGGGTTAGGGTTAGGGTTAGGGTTAGGGTTAGGGTTAGGGTTAGGGTTAGGGTTAGGGAATCATGGGAACTGTATTTTATTGTGGCACCAGAGCTCTCTGACAGAGAAGGCTCAATGTCTCAGAAAAAAATTCCCATGATTCCCTAGCACTAACCCTAACCCTTAAAGTGGACTCAGTTTGCACTATTTCTGGCAGTCTGCAAAGGCCCATTGTCTATATGCACATTCAAACCTGTGCATAATGTTCAGGTAACCAGATGTATTCGTGAAGCAACTTAATGAACGGCAAGAATTCAGAGCAGATCAAAGGTGTGATAATTACTCATGTCCACAGTGTAATAACTTCTTAAAGGGATTTCACCACAAACCCTGTAAAACCCAGAACAGATTCAGCACACCATTGGCAGCCTGCTACCACCCATGGGCTTACACAGGAGGACTGTGGGTGGATTGTGTCCTTTTCTCTGTAGTGTCTCCAGACATCCCCCTGAATTTCTTATGGCCTTCAAAACAAATTAAAATCCTCCAAGGAAGCCTAACAGATGGACTTTAAGATGGATCATTAAGAATGATCTAATTCTCTGATAGGTGGAATTGGGAAGTATGCCCTTTGCCAGGGAAAGTGCTTCCTAGGTGTTTAGGGGTGGAGGAGGATTTGAGAAACTTGCTTGCCAGCTGTTAATGGATGAGTTTGAATTACACAATGAATGTTAATGAGCCTATTATAAAGAGTACTTCATCATGTGACAAAGGTGTATTTAATGATGTTGAAAGGTTTCCCAGAGTAAATTTTAAAAACCCTAATAGGGCAATAAAGACTCCATTAGTGTATTTATTAATTACAATGCACCTAAGTTTCAGCCTGACAGCTTCAGAAATGAGCTCTCCAATGTACCCCACAAAAGGACATAGAAAATCTAAGACAGAAATTATGTATTCGGTGTTTTAATGCTTCACAATACAAATGTGTTTTGATGTTGTTCAAAGCATCCTGCCTGGCTCTGTCACCTTGTCTTACTCTTGTTTCTTCAGTCTGGCCTTTTATTTTTATTTTTGTGCTATTAGTCTGATGATTTTAATAGCTTTTACTATTTAAATTGTTCTTAGTTTTCTTTAGACACCTAGAGTGCTATGCTTTAGTGGAAAGACCAGATAAAATAATAAATAAATAATAAAACAAAGCTTGGAAAAGTGACTGAAATAAAATATAAAATAAATCAGATCTGTACTACTATCTGTACCTCCTGTGCTATATGTAAGGCAGTTTGGAGTCTCCTGTTTAGCCCACTTGCCTAGGCAATATGCTCTGTATGCCAGATTGTAGTTCTGCATCTTTTGAAACATGCTCAAAATAGATTGCATTGTGCTCAGAACCTGGACTACTTTTTGAACCACAGTTCCCAGACTGCTCAAGACGACATGCTCAAGTTTTTGCCATATTGCTTCATGCTGGCTGATGTTGTATGTGGATAGGAATGATTTCTAAGCACAGGCCCAATGTATTTGTTCCTAAATGTCACCCAGAGTTTGCAAAAGTTAGTTTTTGGACTGTACATTTAGACTTCTCAGTAAATATTAACTTGCTTAAGGGGGGGAACAGTGAAGAGCCAGTGTGGTATAGTGGTTTGAGTGTTGGACTATGACTCTGGAGTCATGAGGCCAGGGTTCAAATCCCTGCTCAACCATGGAAACTCACTGGGTGACCTCAGGGAAGTCACATTCTCTCAGCCTCAGAGAGAGGCAAAGGTAAATCCTCTCTGAAGACACTTGCAAAGAAAACCCCAAGATAAGTTTGCCTTAGGGCTGCCATAAGTTGGAAATGATTTGCAGACACACAACAACATTAACCTGCTCTAAATCTGTGTTTTGACCAATGAATGGAAAGGTGCTGGGAGGTTCATAAGGACTTAATACATCAAAAATAATATTTTATATTATTAACATTCAGTTAATTCTGTCTTCAATTTCATGCATATTTACTTGAGGAAAAAACTATGGAAAACAATACGGCCTCCCTATAACACTGATGCAATCTTCAAGGAGAAGGTTATATCTGAAGAAAATGTAGTTCACAGAACTAAACTGGTTAGCCTTACAGGTTTTCCAAGATTCTTTGTTTCCTTTGCCCTTCTTTTTTATAAAACATCATTGTAAATCTACTATTGTTGTTACGTGCCTTCAAGTTGACCTGATTTATGGTGACCATATCATAGGGTTTTCTTGGCATGATTTTTTCAGATAATGTTTCTCTTTGCCTTCCTCTAAGGCTGAGAGAGTGTGACTTGTCCAAGGCCACCCTGTGGGTTTCTAGGACTCAGTGAGGATTAAAACCCTGCTCTCTCAGAATCTTAGGTCAACACTCAGAAAACATACCATGTTTACTCTTTTTAATCTACTAGACTACGTGTACTAATGTTTTGTATTTTATTGGCTTTTCTCCCCTCTTCCAGTCATGAATGTCTCATCTTCCACTAAGAAAAATGTCCAGATTGCCTCCATTTCTATCTACCTAACAACATAAGGAGAGTCACATAAGATAAGACCAAAGACCTATCTAGTCCAACATTCTATTCACACAGTGGTGTTCCTATGGGAGTCCCACCAAGAGGATATACCCTCCAACATTTCACAGGTGAAAACTGGAAGACAAATGTCTAGATAACATCAGAATATGGTCAAGATGGCAAATGTTATTAAGGAGAAAGAGAGGCTATCACAGTTTGCTTTTGCCTAAGCCTACTGGGGAAGGGCAAGAATCTGCCCCCAGCCCTTCTCTTCCCCACACTGACAGCCTTTGCAGACTGCCAGAAATAGTGCACATTAAATTGAGGCATTGCCCTGGCTCAGTGCTAGGGAATCATGGGAACTGTAATTTATTGTGGCACCAAAGCTCTCTGACAGAGAAGGCTCAATGTCCCAGAAAAAAAATACAATTCCCATGACTCCCTAGCACTGAGCCAGGGCAGTGCCTCAATTTAATGTGCACTATTTCTGGCAGTCTGCAAAGGCCCTGAGTTAACTGAGTGCAAACTACTTTTGCACTCTGAACTCAGCTTGCACCAATTGAAGTTTGCAGTAACTGAAGAAGGAAAGCAGGAAGAGGAGAGAAAAAGTGGAATGACAGATGATTAATTGGAACTGTCCCTGTCACACTGAGGCAGCTGGAGGGTATGGTAGGGCATGTACTTGTTGGAAATTGATGTTGATGAAGTGTTGTAAACGGTCCTTTTAAAACCAAACTCCAAAACCTGGAACTTCCAGTAAGCTTCT